GTTTCTGGAATATTTCCATTTTCATTATCTCCAAAACATTCTATTATTTTTTCATGTTTATTATTTTCAGTATATTTAATTCTTATTATATTTATTTATATTGTATCCTTAATATTCATTATAGTTTTATTTATTTATTACTTCTCCCATTTTCCTCTCTTCAAAAATATTTATCTCCACTTGAAATTAGCTGAAGCACAGTTTCACACTGTTATTTTAAATTTATGTATTAAATCGCTTAAATTATGCCGTAATTTTACGTCGTCTGCTGCTAATGTGTCAAACCGATACTTTTCGCTTTATTTGTTCCACTCGATCGTGGAATGCAATTAAACAGGGATAATATGTATAATGGTATAAATAGAGGAAGAAGCATGGAACGCATTATGCGGCAATTAAAGAGTAACGATTCGAATCTTGTGTGTATCTAGTCCAATGGAATTATGCGAAACGATGCTTTCATTATGCATTGTACACGCGCGCTCGATTATCGAATAATACACGAATATAATACGCCATTATACGAGCACGAGGGGACCGATTACTTCGCATTCAAGTCGTACAATCTCGTCGCGAAATCTCTCGAAGGTAAGGCAAGATTTAATCCATCCCGCCATTATTCCTTAGAACCACGATAATTCGTGCAATGCCACGTTATCGTCGTATTTACATTCGATACTCGTCTTTAAACTGACCAGAATATTAATATCTGATATTATACCTGTGTATTTTGGGGTTTCGGTAAATTTTGTTATTCGTTGATCGAATTTTTTATTCGTTAAATTTCTGTATTTATTTTATGTATTGGTCGAATATTTGTGCCGTTTATTTTGAAAGTGGCCTAAGTCCAGTTATACTTAAATTGAGATATTTATTATTCATAATGTCCGAATGTAGTGATGAAGGTAATTTTAATTAATTAGTATTTAACAAGTTAACCTCAGTTTTTGGACAATTGCTTTAATTGAATAATCAGTACGTTAAATTAATGCAGTTAACAAAAATTTACGCAATATACATACTTATAGTTAAATATAAAACTTAAAATTTAATAAATTTTGGAAATTATTTCACTCATGGGAAAGAACAAAACGACCGGAACATAATGATTTCTTCAAATCCCTTTCACACACACACAAAATGTAGATGAGCAGTAAATTGTTTCGTAATTTATGTAGTTAAAAAATGTTTTGAATCGCATAAATTATGTTTTTAAAGTGTTGTAAAGATATATAAAATTAATTGAGTACTGTTTTTTTCAATTTGAAGCATCTTAAATTGTGTTGAATGGACTTGGGCTCCTTCAAATTTTATAAGGAATCTGGTTGTTAATTTTGAAAGTGGCCTAACTCCATTCTTTGCAAGAAAACGCCTATTATTCACTTAATAATTGTCATTATTTTAATAAGAACTATAAATTTAATTCCTTTAGATACACTTAAGCAGTATGACTCATTAGTATCCTGTACGTATATTTTTAATTGCATTGAAACACAAACCCTTAAATATTTCAATTTAAGTATAAATGGACTTAGGCCACTTTCAAAATAAACGGCTCATTTAATTCCTCTCAGTTCGACGAATAAGTAATTTAAATTCGGTATCAACATCTTACTGTAAGTAAAAGTAATTTCATGTTGTAAATTGTTCGTTAAGTTAGTTATTATTGATTGCATATAAATAGCTAAAATTTCGAATTTTTGTATTTATTATGTATGCAAAATACTTTAAGGATAATGTGAAATGAATAGTTTTTTATATTTTGTTATGCACTGTGAAAGAGTTGGAAATTTAATTTATACATCAGCCGTGTTTAGATGAACATTTCTTTTTGAGGTAGGGTAGGGTTTTTTCCTTTTTCTTGTTAAAGGCAACGTGTTAAATGGTTTTGAACGTATGAGATACTGAAGTTACTACAATTAAAAATTGTTTCTTAAGATTCACGAATTACAACTATATGAAATTTATTTTGATATTCAGAATGCAAACTAAAAATTTCTAAGAGTGTATTTAAATTTTCTCTGTGCAAATTCATTATAATCTGAATGAAGAATTAGAATGTACTGTACTACAACAATTTTTGTGATATTTCTAACAATTTTAAGGACGTCATAAAGAGTCTGTTTAGTCAATGATAAATTTTACACTATTTTATATATCTTTTTTAATCATCTTAAAAAACATTTGCACTCAAATTTAATTAGATAAAGTAGATAACGTGTAAATTGCCAAGAAATAATTAAAAGTTCGAATATAAATAGGGTATACACACAGAGAAGTAAAGAAACACATGTACAAAACTTTGTAAAAGCTATTAAAAATGAAATTAACCAAGATCAAAATACATATTTAATTTATTAATTAATAAATTTTGAAAAGCTCTAAGTTACTTAGCTAAGTTTATAATTAAGTTATTATCACGCTGCACACACACACCACTATTACTTTCCACAAATTCATCCAAACTACCCTTAACCTGAATTTTCCAATCCACGAAAATCAGTTTAAAACCAAATCTCCTCACAAAATCCTCTCCTCCACCGAAACCACAAATTCAAACTCAAATTATCTCCCCATGAATCTCATAAACCCACATCCATTACAAACCTAACCCACTCTACTCTCCCTCAAAAAAAAAGAAAAACAGAAGAAAAAAGAAAATAAAGACACTTCTACCATAACTACTTCCCAAACAAGAGAAAATACCTATCCACCCAACAGACAACCTCAACCTCAATCTCAATCCTCCACTTCACCCTCCAGCCCCAAGAAAAATATCAAGTAAAGGGGTTTACAGAGCGCGCAGAAGTATCTGTCTTCCCTAACTCGGTAAGAAGCGCGTTTTCCGATCGGTTAAACCCAACTGAACCTGGGTCCTCGTCTCGAATAAAAGGGAACAGGCCGAGGTGAACAGGAAGACGCGGAAGAAGGCGGAAGAACAGCCGGGAGAGGGTGGGAGACGCAGTGACTGCTGGAGTCCCGGCTAGATTGAGCCGTGATTGAAAATTCCGCCGGCGGCGGGATTTCGATTTAAATTTATACGAAAGCGGGCGAAAAGTTTCGTTACTTGTACACGATGGAGGGGGAGGGGGCGAGGCCTCGTTCTCCGACCGGAAACGGCCCGCACGCGCGTATATCCGCGCTCCCGTTTTAACGAGGGCTGATGGAATTTTAAAAGCCCGACTCGGAGTAGGGAATGCAATTTGATCGGGCACACGGTGCTCAAGTATGTTTTGCGAGCACGTGCTTTCGCGTATGATTCCGTTTCGCGAAGAATGACAACTTTTTCCTGGATATTTCTCCGTTTTGCAGGGGGCTGGAAAGGTATTTATTTCTTGCGTTGCGAGGCTAGGGTAACGCGCTTCCTGATTCGTATAGTATTGTATAAAACTATGTAAGCATGTAAATGTAGTTTTTCTTGTTGTATGATTTCGGTTAATTTATATTAAGATAGTGACAACGAGAAATTAATTCAGGGGTGGTTTTGAAGGGAAGGTGAGTGGTTTGGGTAATTAATTATAATCATTGAAAATAAAAATTGGGGATAGATATTAATTTTATAGGTTATGTTTAGGGAACAAATTAATTTTGGCGAGATTATGGTGACTTGCACGACTTAGAAATATTTAGGCTAGAAAATTCAAGGGTGCAAGAAAATAATTGATTAGCACTTACTATATTTATGATACTGTTAGTGTTAGAACTTACTATTGTAGCGATCAGCATTCTCACCCTCGCCATTAGATGGATTCCGACTTCGAGGACTTTCCCGCAAGTCCTCCTATTCCTATATATATAATTTTCCGACCTTCCAATAGTATCCCAGTGTCTAAGGCAGGGCCTGCTAGGGTAGCCTTACTGATGAGTCCGCTAGCAGGCCCGAGACGAAACACATCCCTTCCTTTTTCTACCATCTCTTCTAGCTATGCCACCATCGAGAGATACCTACGACTAGCTGACATCAAAAATGACCGTGAGGGAGGACCCCCCACACTATATTTGTTACTATTACTGTTCGAACTTACTATATTTGTGTTACTATTACTGTTAGAACTTACTATATTTGTGTTACTATTACTGTTAGAACTTACTATATTTGTGTTACTATTACTGTTAGAACTTACTATATTTGTGTTACTATTACTGTTACTGTTAGAACTTACTATATTTATGTTACCATTAATTTTAGAACTTACTATACTTGTATTACTATTACTGTTACTGTTAGAACTTACTATATTTGTGTTATTATTACAGTTACTATTATTTATATAATAATTATTTAAAAATTGACTTCACTTTAGGAAATCTAAGAAAGTTTTTGATAATCGTGTTATGTTGAAGTATAAGTTCGATGATTCGAGACATTTTGTATTTTGCTATTTTATTGTAATGGGTAACGTGTAAAATGACTGATAACTAACCATTAGAATTTTATGAATGTGCAGGTTAAACTCGATAAGAGCCACAACGGCAAACTTTCGAGGGTTATCCACATCAGAAACATCCCCAATGATGTATCAGAGGGTGAAATCATCCATCTTGGCGTCCCCTTTGGCCGTGTCACAAACGTCCTCGTTCTCAAAGGAAAAAGTCAGGTAAGTGACAACGAGACGTATTCATATATTTTATTTTATGCAGTAGTATACATTTCCCATGATTAAATTTCGTGGAAAGTTTATTTGTATCTATATATATTAATAGTTAGCCGAGTGACTAATTGTTCATATTCTGAAATTCATAATATTAAATAATGAAATTAAATTCAACTATTAGAAGAGGTGTGTTATAGTTATTAATTAGGAGTAATGACAATTTAAATAGAAAAGATAGACATTTATGGATATTTAATTACTCGTGCAGTTTCAATTAGATATAATATAAAGCGTTTAACTATTCGTTAATTATGATTTAAATAGGACCAGTTAAGGTATCAATTAGGCAAGACATCGATCAAATTTTCAATTTAATCAATCAGTTGTCCATTATTCAATTAAGGTCATTTAAACTAAAATTTAAGTATCGTTGTAGTTACCAAAATCATCGAAATTCCCGGTAAACTGCATCGAGTCGAAACAATCAGAATAAAGTACTCTAATCCTTTTAAAATTATCAGTTTTTAGAAGCTAAACCATATTATTTTAAACCATCCTAATTAACCACAAATTATTATCTTTCTATTACACTAACCCCTCAAAATTATTATTTTTTCATGTCCAGAATTGATTATTCCAAATTATCCAAATCAATTAAGAACAATTAATTTTTCAGAAATTAAAATAAGGTATATCCTAAATTAAAATAAAATGACTCTAAGTTACTATTATTTTTATCCAAAATAAATTCTTCTAAATTATTCTACTGAAATTAATCCTAAATTACTATCCTATCAAATTCAAAACAAATTAGTCAAAAATTTACCAGTTTACTGGTCAAAATTATTATTTTGGCATATCCAGAATGGATTATTCCAAATTATCCAAATCAATTCAGAACAATTAATTTCTCAGTAATTAATATAAGGTATATCCTAAGTCACTATTATTTTTATCCAAAATAAATTCTTCTAAATTATTCCACTCAACTTAACCCTAAATTACTATCCTATCAAATCCAAAACAAATTAGTCAAAAGTTTACCTTCATACTCGCACTCATAATTAATTTAGTCACCAATTCCCATTCGCATTTACATCATTCACCACTGAAAATCCACGATTCTAATTATTACACCCCCCTATCCCTCCGAAAATTTTCGCGTGACCACCTCCACCTTATTTAATTTTTATTATTTTTATTACATTTCATTGTACGTTTAGTTTCTTTTTAAATTATAATAATTACAAATGAAAAGGAAATCAGAATCAGCTGGAGGTCTATTCACCATAGAATCCCTCAACGATACAAAAGAAATATAATCACCACTAATAATCACCAGTAATCACCGTTAATATCGATTTATTCTTACGTTGTTCGTTTTAGTGTCAGAGGTTTTTAAAAATTTGAGTCGAATAATGTTATGAGCCGTGATAATAGTTACTAGGCACAGTTACTAGGCCTAGTAATAAAAGTAGACAATGTAAAGCTGTTTATTTATGCGCATAGATTAGGTTTCATTTAAAAAAGATAATAATAATAATAATTAAGAGAGGAAGAGTTCAAATGACTGACTGGAAACCGAATCGTGAACTAAACGTCATGGCACGTTTTAGCACAACACCCCGCAATTGTTCTGCGTGACACTAAAACGGTTATAATGACGTAACGTTAAATTAAAAGAGAAATTTGTCCCTGAAGAGGTGAAACATCGCTATCGAGCCTGAAATTCGAGGCTGCGTGGGCAGAGGTGATCAGAAAATGAGCGGAACGCGGCGGAACTGGACCGCAGGGTCCATTTAGCCGTGGCTTCTAGCAAATCCATGCAAAAACGCGTTTGATCCGCGCTAGGAAGTGCTGTTTGTGCCGCACCAGCGAGCCACTTGGTGACCAGGTCGCGGATGACCGAGCGGGCAATAACAGAAACAATTGAATCATCGATTCGGCCCGATGATCGGCCGTTCGACCATCATTATCCATTATTATCCGTCTGCCTGCCGCACTTCACAAAGCCAGCAAACCCCTCTGTTCTCTCGTTCCCTTGTTTTTCCGACGGTTACCTGCTAGTGCGCTGGATTCCGGTTGTATGTTCGTGCTGGAATTAGGCTGTCGCAGAAAATAACGTCCTACCCTTTCCAGTTCTGATTCAGCCTCGGCTCGATACCGCGGATTTTCCACTGTGTACTCTTGCATTGGACGTAATGTAATTGATGGAACCTTCTGAGAAATTTTATATTTCTCGTTCTTAGGGTTAGAACGAAATTTTGATGTGTAGGCTGGTGTAGTGTATTGCTATTCGAGGATTTATAAATTTGAGATTTTAACACTTTGCGCCCGAGAGACGATCCTCAGTCGTCATTTAATTAGAACCTAAAGATCGGTGTAAAGATCCAAGTGAATTTCACGTAAGGTGTTAAAATTACTTAGAATTTTACTTCGTTTGTACTTCTTTTCTTCTTTTGTACTTCTTTTGTTTTTGAAATTTACTTCTTTGAGAACAAATCTGTAACCAAAATTGCTTTCTCACCCTCAGTTTTCAAAAAATGTGAATTCTTTCTAAAAATGCAGGATTTTTTACTAAAATGAAGTATTATGTAAAAAAGTAAAAAGTAAAAGCTTTAGGAGGTTCATTCTTATCTTGAAGGTTAGGTGAGTGTATCGCCATTTTATCGATACCTATAATTATATTTATTTCTGTTTCTGAATAACTATAATTGATCATTAAAATTTAAAAATATATCACCGAATATCTCGACACGATATTCTTACAATTTTCAAAAAAATTCTTCATCTGATACGAATTTGCTATGTAGTATCGTATTCTGTAAGCTTTCCTGAAGAAGAAACCATGAAACGCAATAGTCAGAATCAAATAAAATTTGTTAAACACTGTAATTACTATATAAAAGTAATTCATTAATTGCAAAATTTAATAAACGAATTCATTGTTTCATTTTTATACGAAATACTGTAAATGACTGTTAAAATAATTACTTAAAATAATAAGAATTTTTTCAGTATTAATTTCGTGATATGCATAATTAGAAATACGAGTTAACACAGTGATTACCGTTTTTCAAAATGTGGTGGTATGTTTATTGAAATTTTATTTTTATTTATATAATTTTTCTATGATCTATGAACGTGATGTCTCAGCCAACGAGAATTCGGGATTCACTCGGTATTTCGCATTTCAAGTTTTCTGATAATTCCTATTTCTCGCGTTTATACTTACATGCTACTATTCTTTGGCCAGCAGAAAGACTGTTTTTACTTGTACTTTCTTCAGCGAGGTTCTTTTGTTAAATCCGTGGTCGCAGAGGAGCGCTTTAAGTGGAAGGAAAATTTTTCTAAAAGGCAGCTTGAGCAAAATTTCGCCTTTTTTCCTCTGACAAACTAGGTTGTGAAGTTAGTATCCTGTGAAAAGGGGAATAGTGTGTAAAATGCACGTTGGAGTTGAAAAACAAATTTTTAAAGTAGGTTCACGTTAATTTTAATTATACTAATCCGCCGAGAAGAGGGAAATATAAAATGTGAAGCATGCTGTAGTAAATAATTAATATTAATACAGACGACTATAATCCCATTTTCGAAAACATACCATTGTAATTCTATAGATTTTAACGAACAACTGACGGAATAAACGGAAAAAATTTTCATTGCGCATTAAAGAATACCGCGAATTATCTCCAAAAATATCCCAGCCGGATAGTAATCCAACACCCCCGCGAAACTCAATTTTGTTGCTCGAAATATTGAAAAAAAAAAAAAAACAGAGAAAAATAGATCCCGATATTAAATATTACTTCGATTTTCAGCAGAATATTCGATAACACAGCGGAACCACTGCCAAATATGGCATCCCCAATTAATCTACGCCACAGTAACCAGAAGCAATTACAAAATCCGATGGACGCAACAAAATCGACCTGTTCGCCATCTTTCCGCGCCCAGCAGCAACAGCGTGTTACATCGTGAAATTGAAACCCCGTTGATTTAGCGATGCGTTTTCATTTAGGCGAACCCTCTGCCGGAAAATTACGCGTGTCCCAGGATGAATGCAATCTCTGCCCGCCGGAATATTTCGCCACGGAACGATACGTTTCGCGGGATAATTTGTCGCATCCTGCGCGCGTTACTCGCGATCCGGGATAAATTAATATTAATCGTCGCTAAACGCGCGTTTATCGTTCACCGTGATTACTGGATCGCCGGATAATTTCGATCCGCCGCGTGGATGATTTCCAGCCGATCTTTTTCGGGGGTGGGAACCGGAAGTGAGAGGTTTGCGCAACGATGGTGTGCAGTTATGAGAGGAACGAGTGGGAAATATTAGGTGATAGAGTGTTCGGTGGAATTGGTTTGTTTGGAGAGTAAAGATATGAGTTGATCTTGTCGATTGTTCAGTCTGTGGAGGTGTTTGAGTTCATTGAGTGTTGGGAAATTTGGCGAATCACTTGGAAAGAGGCCTCGAGGGATTTTAATTTTGGATTTTATTAGTCAATAAATAATTGGATATGAAATTAAGTTTGGTTGGACCTTCGTTGAGTATCGAAAGCTAGTTTCTCTGGGAGGATGTTAGATTTCGTGTTCAGAGTTTGTTGAATTTGTGACGAATTTTAATGTTAACCCTTTGCACTCGACGATTTTTTCGTTGCAGAAAAATAGTAATTCGAAGACTTTCTGTCATAGAGTCACCATTTTTAAAATGGTAAATGAGAAATCATATGCAAATTAAGACATAGAATTATTTTTCTTCGACATTGCACGCATCGTTGAGTAATTTTAAATATGATATATTAATTAACGTCGATCTTTAGAATCTGATTAAATGGTGACTGAGAGGTGCCTCTCGAGTGCAAAGGGTTAAATTTTATCATTTTATGCAGATGAAATTCAATTTCATTGACTGTTTGTGAAGTGAAACGAGGTGTGAGTTGTTCGTGAGATGTTTGTGTTACTGGTGGATGAAATATCAATAATAAGAACAGTTCTTTGTTTAA